CTTCTAATCGTGAAATAGATATTAGGTTCCTTCGAATACTTGGGTTGTATAAAACATTCGTTAAAGTTATATTACTCATTTCTCCTCCTACTTTAACTGAGAATTCAACAGTTCCTTTTTCTAGTACCTTACTAGAAGTATCCCCAACAGCCAAAGCCATGCTTACATTATTTGTTTCTTCATAACTTGACATTAACAATTTGTTTTTACAGAAATGTGTAGTTGCAGCGGAATCCAAAACCCATATTTTATCATCATTTTTAATCATGGTTTCACCAACTTCCACAGAGTGTGTTAAATAAGTCTCAACTAAAGCAGCTGTCTGATCGTTGAAATTCCTTTTCTGTTTACCCCACTTTGACTNATATCTATCTCTACAATTTGCAACTAAATGTCCATACTTGTGGCAGTGATGACATGGACCAATGACTTTTCTATTAGTTTCTACAAATTTACTTTGAGATTTTTTTCTGTCTCCATATCTTTCTTCATCTTTACTTATCGAAGAAATGTTAAACGCACTAACCTCTGGATGAATATCAGCTTTCACTTGTGCAAGTCTGCTTTCTTCTCTTATCAGTTCTTCGGCAATTTTATCAATCGTAAAATCTTCATCCTTCCAACGATAAATTAACTGAACTATACTGGCGAACTCAGGTGGTAGATGCCTTATTGCTTGGAAGCCTTGAAACAACTGATTTAATTCATGACCTGCTTCACTAAGCTTCTTCACTACTGTTTTAAGTCTAGCAATAAAAAGGCCTATACTTTCATTAGCTTGATACTTAATGCTAAAAAATTCATCAAGTATCTGAATGAGTCTAGCTCTATGACTATTAAAATTATTAATTAACAAAAGAATGAAAGTTAAATATTAACTTTCAACCGGAAATAAAAACTAATCATTAAAGCAAGCTATGCAATTAATAGTTCTAAAAACAAATTAACAAAGGATAACTAACAAAAAAATAAGCTAACAATTAATAATTAGCTATAAAACTGGTTAACAAGAAATCGCAAAAAAATAATAATTAATGTAAAAAAACTAACAGTTAATAACTATAGAAAACAAGCTAACAATTAATAACTAGCAAAAAAATAAATAACCTTTACTAATTAATAAAAAATTAGTCGAAAAAAATAATAATAATAAACGTGCTTTTGTAGTACATATTACTTTATTTCACATTCAAAATTATTATCACAAACTATTTAACACAGTGTTAGGTAATCAACTTTTAAACTAATTTTTTTCATTGTGTGCCGTCAAATTTCGAAATGGTGAAAAGTGTGCCGCCACAAAAAAAAAGGTTGAGAATCACTGACCCAGAATGTGCAAAATTAATCAAATGCAATAATTTAAAATAATGTTATAAATGGTAGAAAACAGAAAGAAATTTAAAATCCATGCATTTAAATTTCGTTTTGATATTTGTAAATCTAGAAAACTGGCAGATGAGAAAATTTTATTTACTTCATGCATTTTGATGAGGAGTAGATAAAAATAAATAAGCAATGAATTCAGATAATACAATAATAGTATGGGAGTCATGGTGACTCAGGGGATAGAGCGTGTGCCTCCTCATGAGGTGAAACAGTTTCGAATCCCAGCGATGGCTGGTTGATACATATTCTGCAACCAGTTCACAATGAACACAGTGCTGATGTAAAATATTCTCAATGGTAGACAGAACATGGGTTAGAGTCCTATTGCCATCAGACTAACTGTGGGAGGTTTTCCTCTCCATGTAACGCAAATGTGAGTAAGTTCCACCAATAAACGTCCTCACAATATTTGTTACTGGAGTTTCCTTGTCTTCTGAATTGGGTCCAAAATTACAAACTACAGAGTTGAAAATTTGTGGTCTCAAACTCAAAAACAAGGGTCAGCTATTCAATGCCAGTTATAAAATAACATAAAATAAGAGTATGCATAACACATATACAATTTCAATTATCACAAAAGTAAATATTATTATAGTTTAAATATTTTACACCACTTTTCAATCAATTTACAAACCTATTTGTAATTAATTTGTATAAGTGTCTAAAGTGGTACACATCATGCTTCAAATCTGTATGCCCAAAAAGTAAAAAGGAAATAGTTTTGTAAGTTTACATACCAGATGGAATTTCTAGGAAGAAAGGGTGCTGCAAGCATTTTTCGGCAGTTATCCTAAAAATAATAAATAAGTTTGAAAAAAAGGTATATGTAGTTCAAAAATTAAAGTAACAAATTCATTTTAATAATTCTTATTTCTTTTTCACATTTGGTAAAACTTCAGTAATCTGAAATTTGGGGGTAATCTGAGCCGGTGCTACTTCTCAAAAATTATAAATTAGAAAAAATATTGTTATTATTTTCCATTAAAAATTTTGGAGAAATATAAAGGAAATTTTTAATGGAAATATATCTTTACACCAACTTATCAATTTATTATTTTTTTTAATATTTATTATTTACAAGTATTCATTAATAATTCTTTTATAATTTAGAATTGAAAAAAATCAGTATTCAATATTTATTATATAACTATAAGAAACTGTTTTGTCTATAATACGATAAAAATACAAAAAGATGGCTTTTATTGAAGCTGAGATGCCAACTTTCCAAACCAGCTATCAGTAACCAGAAGTAGAATATATACGACGTTAACAAAATTCAAATTAGCAAAATTTCAAGGCGTCATTTACTACTTAATTCTATATCTATTAACATTATGTATGAATTTACCATTAAATAAAGAACAATAACACTTAAGTGTTAATGTTTTTTTAATAAACAATGCAAACAACAAAATTTCATTACTCATAGGAACTAAGGAATAAATGACTTTTGTTTATCAGATAAAAGTTTTCAAAAACCATATCAGAGATTTATGTAGGCAAGACTATATCTAAACTTACACACATATCTATATATTTCCTTGATGCAGATGTTCGGTCAAACCTAATTAAAAGCCGTAATTACCTAATTATTCAACTATCTCGTCCAGTTTTGAAATTATCTATTAATAGATAGAATAATTATAATTGTGCATAGTAATAGAAAGTTTTTCCACAATTGAAGGGACGAGACGT